GATGGATGGATGGAAGGATGGTAGGGCAGACGGGCGCAGGTCCACTCCTCTCTCCTGGGATCCAGGGTTGGGTGGTCATTAAGCCCACCGAGGTTTGCAGCAATGACATTTAATACTTCTGGAATGGTTAGGATTCTGAGAACAGACGGTGGGCGGCTACGTGGGCTCCCCAGGCTGGGGGAGCGGGCCCTGTCTCCCTGCAGGGGGCCCTGCCCAGTTGGGAGGGGTGGGCGGCTCGGTGGGCCCTGGCAGCAGGCAGGCGGGTGGGCGGGCGGGCAGCAGGCAGCCCAGGCGGTAGTTGGGCTTCCTGAATGGCACAGCAGTGGGCCGTGGAGAAGGCTAGCGTCGGTCACAGGGAGGCTGGAGGGCAGGCCGGTCAGCCCATGGCGGAGGGCACCAAGCTTACGAAAGGCCCGAGCGGCCTGGCCGCCGGCAGGGGGGCCCATACCCCCCATCGCTGCAGCCGCCACTCTGCAGACTGTAGTGGTCATCCGCGTCACTGCTGCTGCCCACACTGTCCAGCTCGCCTGGGACAAACTCCATGCCCTCTATGTCGACTTCTGGAGAGGGAGAGAAGGGCTCGAGTCAGGGCTGAAGGAATGGCCAAGGTCGCCATTTTTTTTTGCAGGCGGCCAGTGGCCTCTGCCCTGTGCCTGCCACCCCTTTGTGCAGCCCAACGAGGTGCATGGGAGACCCGCCCCCAGGGCCTGCCCTCAGTGTATGCCCACAGATCAAGCCCTGCCCTCCAGTATATGCACTCAGACCTGGCTCCGCCCCCCTGTCCATACATTCACAGACCCACCCCCTGCATCTACCCAGCACACAGACCCATCCCCACGTGTGTGCACCCAGCCCCGCCCTGCCTCCCCACAAGCACAGCGCAGGTTAAGCCCCGCCCAAACGCATGTGCCTGCAGGCCTAGCTCCACCCACTAGCACGTGCGCCCCGAGACGCGGATACACTCTTTTTCAGTGTATGGACCCACAGGCATGTTTCTCCCACCTAGTGTTTGCACCCAGCCCCAGCCCAGTTCAGCATGTGCACCTATGGACCCAGCCCCAGTATTTACTCAGAACCGGACCCACCCAGACGCGTGCCCACAGACTCATCCCCTAGTTGTGCGCCCATGCCAACCCCACAGCCCCAGTGCATTTATCTAGACCCGGTTGCTTCCCTCACCCCCCCACAGGCTCGTGTGTGTGTGTGTGTGTGTGTGTGTGTGTGCGTGCGCGCGCCTAGGTCCAGCACCGTTCCCCAAAAGCTTGTGCCCACACACCCTGCCTGCCCTAATGCTCTTGCCTACAGACCCAGCCCCGCCCCAGCCGTTGTGCTGACAGACGCGGCCCTCCAGTGTCAGCGCCCCAGCCCTGCCTCTTCGTGGTGTGAGCACCCACAGGCCGGCCCCCCGCCCCAGTGTGCGCCCACAGACGCGGTCCCGCCCCCACCTTGCTCAGAGTCGTCTGTGGAGATGGCAGAGCCTGTGCTGTCGGTGCGCACGCGCTCCACGCTCTGCACCGAAAGCTGCTCCAGGCGCCGCTTCAGGAAGCGGTGCTCACGCTGCAGCTGCTCTTTGATGCTCAGCGCCCGGCGGTCCTGCTCCTCCAGTTTCTGGGGGTACAGGGGACTGTGAGCCAGAGGGCACATCCAGCCCACTCCTACCCGGACACAGTGGGCCACAGGCATCAGGCCTCCGAGGGCCCAACAGTTTGCATGATCCCTGGTCCTTCCACCTGCCTGAGGGTCACACCCAGGCCACCTCCCAGGCCCACACTGGCCATTACTGGCAGTTCTCGAATGCCCACGCTCTCAGCCCACCCAAAGCTCTTACGAACTGCTTTCCCACCCCAGCTCCTCCCTGCACCTTGGGGGTGGGGTGGGAGTGGGGGGAGAGGGCATCTGAGAGGTGACTGGGCCACATCCTTACCCAGGTGCTCACACTAGGGCAGAGGGCTCCCCTGCTAGGGTTGCACCCCCCTTTGGCTATCCCGACTGTCCTCACCTGCTAAACCGACAGGTGGGTCCATACCTTTCTCCCCTGTGTACATCCTTCTCCTAGCCTGTGAGACTGACCCAGCTTTATCTCATGGATCTCTCAACAATGGCCTTCCCACCCACTCTTCTCCCAGCCCACCCATCCTCCCACCCCTGCCTGGCAGCTCCTCCCCATAGCCCATCACCACTGGAAGCTGCCAGAGGCACGGTGGGTGGGGGTGGGTGGAGGGAGGGGGACCGGGCCCACAGCGGTCGTTCACCTTGATGTGCACCTTGGCGCGCTTCAGCAGGCTCAGTGTGGTGTGGCGGGTGCTGTCAGGGCCCAGCGGCACCAGCTGCTTGAGCTGCTCCAAGTACAGCCTGAGTTTGGCTCTCCTGGAAGGCCAGAGGCAGGACTCTGAGGAGGGGGGCGGGCCCTGCACAGACTTCACCCCATCCCACCCCCATGAGTAGTTCTGAACCCCACACTCAGAGCCCCCACCGCTCTGGCTCCTGTGCCTGAGCAAAGCAGATGGTCTGTGACTTGGGTCCACATGGCCAGCTCAGCCCACCGAGGCCCTTCAAAGCCCTGGAGCGAACACCGGCCAAATGCTGCCCTGGAGCCCAGCTCAGCCCTGTTGACGCCATCCTCTGCCCTGGAGCCAGGAGGCCTGGGACAGCCTGGGGGCCTGGGTAAGGCCTTTGTGTCTACTCCTTCGAGTAGTGTCCCCTACAATCACTGTCACCACTACAAAAATATCAGTCTCTCAGGGCAGGACCGACTGAGCCCATCCAGTACACCCACCCCCTCATCCACTCTCCAAGTCTGGAGTCCCTTTGGAAACGGTTTTGTTCCAGAGTCTGGATGCCATGCCTTCAATGCCACCTGCTCTCACACCTCCTACTCCACTCTTGGAGCTCAGGGACTGGGATTCAGGTGCTTGGGGGCTGAGGCTAGGGGCTCAGGAGCTCAAGTGCTAGGGAGATGTTGGTTTGGGCAGACAAAGAGAATCATGGGGGAGGGGGCAGTCCACGTTCACCCGGAGTTTTTCTGGGACCCCACTCCTCCCCACAAGAGGGCTGGCCTGCCCCTCCTCCCATGAAAGACCCCAGCCAACACCAACATGCCACCATGTCACTGTCTGACCTCTACACAGCACCATGGCAGTGGGTCCAGAATATTCGAGTAGCGTGCCCCCAGACTCTCTGCAGCCTGCTACCTAGTCCCCCAGCCAGCACGGGGCTAGTAGCAGCCTACTGAGACATGCTGAAAGAAACTGCCTAGATGCCTCACAGTGAAAACCTACAGTCTGACCTGGTCTAACGGGGAAATGGGGAAGAACGGGGCAGGGTTGGGCGGTGCCCTGGGACAGAGAAACATTTGGGGAGTAGGCCCAGGGTCAGGGGGCTCCAGGTTCACCCTACAAGAGAAGCTGGGGACAGGTGCACTGGAACAAAGTTCCTAAGCTGAGAGGTGGGTGGATTCTAGCCCACAGTGGCTCCATGAGTCAGAATGGTGCTGTGCCTGAGTTTTCTTGGTGGCAATTTTTATAGAAATTGTTGTAGATGCAAAAGCCTTTTGCAGTGCAACCTTTTGGTTGGTGGTCTAGCACAAACTGTTTGTGCCACCCAGGGTCCCTCCACTCATCATACACAACACACACATACACCTTTATGGAAGCTGGTTGTCCACGGGTTTTTGTGGACAACTAGTGCGTTCAAACTGCCGGCTGCTCAGGTAGCTGCCAAGCACTAAGCCACGGCAGCCACAGCCCTGTACAAGGCCACCGAGTTCATTCTGACTTGGCGCAACTCTATACGAGAGTTTCCCAGACTATGAACCTTAAAGGGAGCAAACAGCCCCATTTTTCCCCCTAGTGAGTTTGAACCCCTGACCTTGAAGGTAGCTTCCCTTGATTCCCCCTAATAGCAATCCTATGGGCAGACCTGCCCCTGTGGGTTTTAGAGGCTGTAAATCTGTATGGGAGCAGACAGCCTCCTCTTTCTCCCTCTGAGCAGCTGGTTGATAGCAGCCAAACAGGAAGTAGCCATTTCTACTACCCACCATCTAGTTCCACAGTGATCCCAGTGGGAAGATCGGAGCACGCAAACCACCACCAGAAAGAACAGAAGCCCGAATCCCACCGTTGTAGAAACAACCTTCCGATCTTTTCAGTCCCTTCTGCGTTTTCCCTTGCTAAAGGCTAAGTGAAAAAAAAAATTACGTATACCACAAATGACCAGATTTTGTTTAAAATAAGCAGCGGATGCACACGGGAGATTCAATGGGCCATCTCCAAGGGACACAATTTATTTCGTGGGGTTCTGCTCGAGCCTCCAGGCCAGCAATTCTACGTTACGTGGGCCACGTCTTCACCATCCGAAAGAGATATACTGGTACAAGAAAGGACAACAGCAGTGAAAAGACTCGTCTCGGTGGGGGGCAGAGCCACAGGGCGTGCAAGAGACAAACAGGTGCGTCCTCGTCATATCCCGAGATGACACACATAGTAACAAAAAAGCAGGGCACATGGATCTCGGCAGAGAAAACGGCACAACAGCGAA